CGCTGCACTGGCGTGCTGGGACACAGCACACATGGCTGCAGTTTACTCGTGAGCTGTAACACAGGCCAACACTGCCAGAGACATGTCAGAGTCACTAAACATTTGATTTTGAATTTGGTTGTGGTGTACTCAGCAATATTTTACCGTTGCCAATTTTCCCATAATTCTCCCAGTCAGTCACATGACCTTGCATGAGGTCTGCACCCAAATTTAAGAAATTCTGGGCTGGATGTTGAGGACGAGGGTAAAGACTCGAATTAGCCTCAGAGTGACAAGCATAAACCCTGTCTGCTTGGGACAGGGACGAATGGAGAGGGAGATGGATACTCAGTTGGGCTGGGAAACCAAGAGGAGGACAGACGGAAGAGGCTGCAAAGGGAAATAGAGCCTTGGAGCGAGGACATTATCTGCATAGCTTGGCCCATTGATGAAGATTGGCATGTTAACAACACAATGCATAGAGACAAGATCACAGGGCAAGGGTGGAGGAAAATGCAGGGCCACCATTTAAATGCGCAGCTGAGATAAGCTGAGTAGCTTAGGAGTTTTCAGTATACTGTGCACCTAGAATTATGTGACCTAAGTTTAGATGCACAACATCCATGTAAACCTCCAGGCATGGAGGTGTGCCTAGTACTGGGAAGAGCTGAGGCAGGAGGATACCTGGGCCATTTTGGCCAACTAGTCTAGCCAGCAGGTTAGTTATGGGTTCAGTGGGAGATTCCATCTCAAAAAGTAATGTGGAGAGCAAGAGGAAGATACCAGATGTCATTCTCTAACCCCATATTCATGTGTACCCACACATACAAATGTACACACAGCAACACATACAAATGCATCAGGTACCCGGAAATCACAGGGAGCAGAACGGAAGAGGTGGCAGACCATGAGTAACAGACTGTACAAGGGGAAGGCAGTCCTGGTGACGAGTGCTGTGGACACAATGGACATCAGGCAGTGGGGAGGGCATCAGGAATGACGTGGTGGTGAGGGAGGGCATGCAGCCTTTACAAGGAGGTCAGGGCGTGCCTCCTTAGGAAGGTGACATGAACAGAGGGTTGTTAGGGGTTTTGTAAGTCGTTTCGGGTTTCTTTTTAATTATCTATATATGTGTATGTCTCTGCCCCATAGATCACATTGGCCTTCGATTAGTGAACTCCTGCCTCAGCCTCCAGGAGCTAGAATTACAGTCTGCGTCTGACACATCATTAGCATTTTGCTAACAGTTACTGAATGGTGCCAAGTGTACCATTTATCCCGGAACTCAGGAGGCAGAGGCAGGTGGATCTCTGAGTTTGAGGCCAGCCCGGCCTACAAAGAGTTCCAGGACAGCCAGGGCTATATAGTGAGACTCCTCTCAAAATGAATTATTAGCTAATCAATCAATTAATTAATTTCACCAAATGAATGATGGCTAAAGCTTAATTTATGTGGCATAATTATTTTCTTTTGAGAGCATTTACACTTTTTAAGGGCAAATGGCATTTGAGTACACAGAACTGTGGTTGATAGGGCCATCAGAGACTACAGACACTTGTGTCACAGGAAGGAAAGTCCAGAAAATGGGAAGTTACAGGGAAATTTGTTCCCCCGCCCCCAAACCGACTGCCCAGATATATGCTTATCTTAGCCTGCCCTTTCTCAAGGGCACGGAGTTGAGTGACGTGGCTGACTGATGCTGAGAGGGAGGTGGAATGAGTTTGGACAAAATGACCTTTCCTGTAACATGAATGGCATCCATAAGGTTAGCAAGGGTGCCGGATGATTAGTGCGATTAAAGCAACACAAATGTCAAGTCACAGGAAGAAGTAGACTCTCATCTTATATCCACAGCTTCATAACTGTGTGGTCAGGCAAAAGTCCATCAGATGCCCAGCGTCCTGGCTTCCCACCCAAAGCACCATCTGAGATTCCTTCATTAGCAGCGTGAGACTCTCCACAGGACAGCGCTCTGAAGTTGTCAAAGCACTCCGGTGCACACATAAGTGTATTCTTACTGCTATCTGACAATCCTAAATCGTAAATCTGCTTGCTATTTAGAGAAGAATACGCTGTAAATTCTGACCCAGAACTCAAGGGTGGGGATAAAAGGGGAGCCCCGAATTCACAGAGGACAGAAATCCTATCAAGCAAGCTCATGCTCCAGGTGGAGATATTTGGATCTGTAGGCGACAACGAACTGAACAAAGTCATTGGTGTACCCAGCCTCACTCCAGCCATTTAATGTGTGTCGTAAGTATGGCTGTGCTGTTGACAGTGGGTTACAAGGCCCAGCACTAGAGTCAAAGTCTTTCCAGCTGCTGTCCATCGCTATCCACCTGTGTAGGAAAGCGTTCCTAGAAGGCCTTGCTTCTGTTGGCCTTTCCTATCTACCATTCTTTGGAAGGATAGTAAGACAAACTGGAATGGCTAGAGAGACCTTGGAATTATCTGTGAATGCATTATCTTCAGACACAGATTTAAGATAAAGAAAAGCTAAGGAAAAGAGCAGAGGCTCCAAGTGGGGAGTGGAGATATTTCCTGCCATGGATGAGTGAAGAAGCCTCCAAATGAAACACAAAGCTAGAGGCTGGAGAGATGGCTCAATGGTCAGGAGCATTCCCTGCTCTTGCAGAGGACCTGGGTTTGGGTCCCAGCACCTACACTGCAGCCCATAACCATCTGGACCTCCAGTTTCAGGGAACCCAATGCCCACTCTGTCTTCTGTGGGTATCTACACACTGTACCCACATGCAAGCACATACATGTAACGTCTTACAATTAAATGCAAGACTACTGCTCTGAAAAATAAGATTTAATCCATGGCTGTGGGTATAGAAGAAATCCTTAAAGCCTTTGTGCTTGTAATTTAGCAATGGAGGAAGACTGTATGAGATGGGAAGAGCTTGCTTTAGGCGAGATCCATAATGGAGAAGTGAGGGACAAGGAGCAACAATGGGTTTCCCCCACTGTCCGCAGAAAGTGACATGAACTAGTAAACTCGAAAACTGGCTCACTTAGCAGACATAGTTTTTCATCTTAGCTGTAACAATGGATGGTTACGGACCATTCTAATAGCTTCAGGATCAGAGAGCAACCTCACTGGCAGTCGCTCCCAGTGAGATTCCTCAAACGGGACAAGGTGTTTGCCACACAAGGTGTCTAGAGCAGTGGTTCCCAACCTTCCTAAAGCTGCAATCCTTTAATACAGTTCCTCATGGTGTGGTGACCCCAACCATAAAACTGTTTCCATGCTACTTCCTAACTGTAGCTTTGTTAGCATTATGAATCATGATGCAAACACTTTGGAGACAGAGGTTTGCCGAAGGGGGTGCCACCCACGGGTTGAGATCCACCGACCAAGACCCCAGGAAACTTTGTCAAGACACATCAGTGTGTTTGCGTCTCACTTCCCAGCACCATCATGCAAATGTCATCCTTTGCTGTCCCGGCCTGGAGCCGTGGGGATGTGTGGTGACATCTCTCCTGCACAAATGAAGCCTCTCTGGGGGTCAGAGAATGGAGCTTGCCACTAGCTAACCATAGAGGTTTGGAGGTCTGTCCAGACAGACAGGAAGTGGCGTAGCTGGACAGAAACAGGATATAAGCAGGGACAAACAGGAAATTGCTATCTTCTCTGCTGAGACGCTTAGGAGGTAAGGTGAGCTGTGGCTTGCTCCTTCTCTCTGATCTCTCAGCATTTTCCTCTACATCTGACTCTGGCTTTTTAATATCTAGACCAGTTAAGAACTCTGTTTACAGGTATACTGTAACATATGGCTCTACACAGTAAGGACCAAACTTTGACAGATCCAACCATCATTAGGCTCCTGAGTGTCACCCTTTAACCTTATTCTTTGTCCATTTGTCATTTGTTTGAAATACTGAGAGGCGGAGGAAATGACTCAGAGGGTAAAGTGCTTGTTTGCCGCATGAGAAGGACTGAAGTCAAATTCCCAGCACTCGTGGGAAAAGCTTGGCATGGCAGTGTATGCTTTCACCCAATCCCTGTGAATGCATTCACTCCACCACTGTGAGTGAAGCAGGCAGCTCCTGGGTGCTCACTGGCCAGCCATTCCTACTGACATTGTGAACTTTATGTTCAGTGAGAGACTCTATGTTAAAAAAAAATAAGGCAGAGATTGATGACTACCTTATATGCCATCCTAGAGCTTTCATCCAGTAGCTGATGGAAGCAGAAGCAGACACCCACAGCTAAACACTGAGCTAAATTCCTGGAATCCAGTTGTAGAGAGGGAGAAGTGATGAGCAAAGGGGTCGAGACCAGGCTGGGGAAACCCACATAAGGTAGCCATCAATCTCTACCTTCCATACTCTCAAGCACTGATAAGCACACACACACACACACACACACACACACACACACACACACACACACACGAACACACACATACATATACCACATAGACACATATGAAAATTAAATAACAATAGTAATAATAAAAGAAATACTGAACCAAGGAAAGTACACTGAAATAACAGTCAGAAAACCATCTTGACTCCCACCACCTTGAACAGTACCAGTCTACATAATCCTTGGTTTATGGAACCTTTTAAAGGATTTCTTTATGTGTTTGTGTGTATGTGTCTGCATGTCAGATGTACACAGGTGTGCAGGTGACCTTGGAGGCTGGAAGAGGGAGTTAGGACCCCAGAGCTAGAGTTATAGGAGGTTGTGAGCTGCCGTGTGGGAGCTGGGGAATGAACCCTGGTCTCTGCAAATGCAGTGTGTTCTCTTAACCACCGAGTCATTGCTCCTGCCCACAAGGGACCTTTTAAATTGGGACTAAGAAAAGCTATCCCATCTGCATCTCTTGTTTGCTTGGAGGCTCACAAGCAGCTACTGATATGAATGATTAATGCCATCACCGTTGTTTCATGCCCTGAAGCCAGAGTGTGTGATTGATACACGGAAACAAATGACCACAGTTCCCTGAGGAGAAGACTGGAGATAAGATGAAAAGCCACAAACCCACCGAACAGAGTCTGGGATGTCCTACCTCTCAGCGACTGGCTTGGCAATGATTTCGAAAATGATCTCTTGCTTTGCATCTTGGTCAAATATCCTTTGAAATCTGCAATGTGAAAATGGTAATTATCCCCAAGCTATAACTTCAAATACTATTGGATTGATGGATCTTGCTCTCATAAACACCTTTGTAAACGACCCCACGCTGACATCACTGGGCTTAGCTAACCTAACACAATGTTTACCCTGTCACCCCCACACTGTGTCATTGTGCTCTGGCTCACAAATGGCGAGTAAACAATATGGCTTTGACAAGATCTGAACAATTGTCCCCCTCTGAAAAAAAAATCTCACCAGCTTTGAACTACATAATAAACTGTGTGTTTTTGGCTCTCAAGAGGGACGGTGTGGCAGGCTTTCTCGGACTGCCAGCCCCTTCATCATGACACGGAGGCTTCTTATTAGATAGGAATTCTAGGCTTTAGTCTATGCTAATTTCTAGCTAGCTCTTCTACCTTGATTAAGCCTGTTTCTCTTCATCTGTTTTGCCTTGAGGAACTTTTACCTTTCCTTCTGTGCATCTTACTCTGCTGCTTCATCCACGTCTGCTGGGCTGGGGGCTCCCGGGCTAGCTGGCCCCAGGCATCTCCTTCTCTTTCTTCCTCCTTTTCTCTCCAGCCTAGACCCCTCCTCCTTACTGACTCTGTTTGCCTGCCACTCCCTTTGTCCCTCTACTGCCTAGCTATTGGCTGTTCAGCTTTTTATTAGACCAATCAGGTGCCTTAGGCAAGGTAAAACAGCATCACATCTTTACACAGTTAAACAAATGCAGCATAAACAAATGTAACACATCTTTGCCTTGTTGAACAAATATTCCACAACAGGACAGTGTCTGTGGCTAGTGTCAGAGTCAAAGCTCTAGAAATACATGAGTTGGGAACCCAAGAGCAGGATGTAAAGGCCCTTGGGCTTGAGGGAAGACTGCAAGCATGAACTGTGCAATCCATTGGAACTGCAGTTATTGCCCAGGCATCGGGTACCTCCTTCCACAACACTGATTCCGGCTTTGGGTGTTGTCGTCTCATTCCCTTGCCCAGGATTCAAGAGTCAGAAAAGACTGCTCTGTCCAGCGAAGCCAGGTCTTCACCAGAGCAGCAGGGAAGGGCGTTCTGGGAGGTGCCAGAGCGCCAGCTCCATCCTTGCAGAATCACTCTTAAGTTTGGTATAGGATTGCCAGCACAGCAGGACACTGGGTGACATAAACTCTTCTTCTGCAGCAAGTTCAGCACCCACTGAAACATCCCAAAGGCGGACCTTCGGCAGAGCACTGACTGGCCTGTTTCTGTTTTCCATGTATGTAACTCCTCTCCCTCCGCCCCCCTCCCGGCCCCTCTCTCTGCATATATGCATGTGCAGAGGTCAGAAGACAACCTTGGTGTCTTTCCTTGGGTTTCATCCACTTTTGTTTTAAAGACAGTGTCTCCCAGTGGCCTGGAGCTCGCAGAGCCAGCTAAGCTGTCTGGCCACCAAGCCCTAGTGCCTCTATCTCCCTGGTCCTGGCTTATAGGCATATCTTCCCATCTGACTTTTAAAATGAAGGTTCTGGGGATCGAACACGGGTTATCAAGCTTGCCAAGTAAGCACTCTGCCAACTGAGATCTCTTCCCAGTGCCTTACCTGTTTCAAAATAAAGGTGGAGCACATACAGACTTTAAGGTAAAAACTCAAGCAAAACTTTTGAGGGCATCTTAAGCAGCTTGTGTAGTGGCTTTGAACCTCTGGTCAGCATGCCTGCCCACTGCACAAGTCAGCTGGCCACGTTAACTGAAGTGGCAGGACTACAGGGACATATAAGACAGTTTTCCTACTGGGGAGTACAGATAGCTGCCCAGAGTTAGATTAGAAATAAAAATAGAAAGAAATTTATCATCGCAGACCAATACCAACTTCCAAGGACCCCTAGGGCTTGCCAACCTTCATTTGAGATGAGCAAATGCTGAGAGAGTCTAAAGAAGAGTTCTCAACCTTCCGAATGCAGTGGTGACCCCCAACGCTAAAACAATTTTATGTCATAACTGTAATTTTGCTACTGTTATGAATTATAATATAAATATATGTATTTTCTGATGGTCCTAGCAACCTCTGTGAAAGGGCCATTCAGCCCCATGGGGGGGGGGTCACAGTCCACAGGCTGAGAACCAGTAGTCTAAGGATATGAGCAAGCGGGTAGCATTGCTGTTGGTGTGCCCGGACCACTCCTTCAGAACAATCAGAGAACCGCAGCCTTGGGTCTGAACACCAGCATAGCACAGAAGTCCACAGAGCACACAGCCACCATGCGTGAGTGTGCTCTAAGAAGCGTGGAGCTACCCTGGTGGTGATGATTACAGACGTCCATCAGGGCCTCTGGGAAGCTGCCTATGAACAGGGCCTGCTGGCTTCTCTCACCTGGTTGTTGGTGACCTTGAGGCAATGTGACATTCCCCACCCCATTTCCCTGAGCACTAGGAACTACATCTATTACTGTAACATCAACAGGTGCCAGGTACCTTCAAGTCACCCAGAGAACATATTCTGAAATGTTCCTTGTAAAAAGTTAATTATGGTCAGGCCATCTACTTACCTACCTATTTCCAAAATGCAGGTCAAGTGCTTCCCACATGCTAGACACACCACCAAGGTTGTAATCAGATTGAAATATACTTTGAGAACAATACTTGTAAAACATATTGAAGTCCTTGGGGGAGGGGTATGATACCCTCTGGCTAGAGAGATGGCTCCGCCATTAAGGTTAAGAGGCTAAAAGTACCTGCTGCTCTTACAGAGGACCCAAGTTCAGTTTTCAGCACCACACAGGGAACCTTGAAACCACTTGTAAGTCCAACTCTAGGGGACACAATGCCCTTTTCTAACCTCCGTGGGCACCTGCACACAGATTTCTCACAACACCTAATATAGTGCACATACACATAATTTTAAAAACTTAAAGGACATTTACATCCATTAAATCATTTTAAAATTATATCTTCTGATCGTTCAAAACATAGTGGAACAAGAGATAATTGAGATAGTTTTATTATCTCCATACTTCAGGATGGAAACTTCAAGATCAAAGTTCATGGTTAATTGGTAATTGTGTATTAAGCATCAAATATCTCCAAACTTCTCACTTTCACGACAGAGTTATGTTACAATCTGGACAGGAACTTTGACCAGCTGTCTTCTGAAGAACAAAAGAGAATCCTAGAATTCAGAACAGCTGCAACAAGTTCAGTCCAAACTCTGGTGAAGATTAAGCTGAGGCCATGGAGATAAGACATAGCCCGGGGGCCTCATGTCTATCAACAACACACAGAGACAGAAAGTAGGGTTCCCGAGGACCAAGATGTCCCTTCATTCATTAGGATGTTGTGTGGCCTTTGCCTGAAGCCCATTTCAACTGCACAGGGCTAATCTCCTAGTCTCAAGCCTTTATTTTGAAACCTTCTTCTTCACCCCACAAGATGACAACTCCATCCTTTTAAGTGTTCAATCCCAAACTCCCCAGCACCCTTGATCATTCTCTTTGTTTTACTCTGTAATGAGTTCATTGGCAAACTCTGTCAACTCTGGCCTCCAAATGCCCAGAATCCAATTAGAGTAGAGCCAGGCATCCTCAGACCCACGTCTGCAGGTGTGCAGACATCTTACATCATGCTCCTCTCTCCATATATTATGCAGATTTCTCATAACACCTAACAGGGCAAATGTCATTGGAATAGCTTTACACTACGCTGTTTATGGAAAGATGATAAAAGACCCTGTGTGTGTTCAGCACAGATTTTTTTAATTCTGTTTAGTCCCTGGGTTGGTAAGAACCATGGATGTAGAACAGGATACAATGGACATTTCTCAGCACTCTATTTCCCACCAATTATTTTACCTGTCTTCCTTACCCCCTTACAGTATGTGTTGCCATGACAGCAAGTGCCATCCTACTGCAAGGTCAGCAAGGGCCATGCTATGGCAACAGAGATGTGATGCCTTCATCCTCCTCAGCATCACCCCTTTCCTACCCATGGCACTTGAGATGACAGCTCCACTCATAAGTTCCTATATAAGCTGGCCTCTCGGTGCCTTCTACCTGTCTTCTTCCTGTCTGTACCTTGCTTACTCTGTAAGCCTCATGGTCCCCTTTCTGTCCTCAACAGACAAGCACTTTTTTGTCTTGAGGACTTTGTTTTCCTGTCCTTGTGGCCTGGACCTCGCATCTCTCAGGATGGCAGTGAAGAATACACCGCCCAAGAGAAATACAAAACTATTCATATATGTTATTTAAAGTGCTCCAGCTCCAGTTCAAAATAAAAGAAAAAAATAGGAGCTGGAAAATTAATTAGAATTGCTGATATATTCAAATTTTTGTCACTATAATATGGGATCAATATGAAAAAAAAGTTCCTGAGATATTTTATATTCTCTTCGTTTTTTTCATACTGAATGTTCAGAATGAATGGATGCATTATAGAGTACCTCATTTCAGGACAGATGTGATCCAAGTGGATGGTCCATAGGACATCCCAGGTACTGTGCACCTGAGACCCATGTATCATTTATATCACAAAAAAAAAAAAAAGCCCACCTAAGTAACACAGAGACCGGGCCATGACATCAACCTTTAATAACATCTATACATTCGTGGACTTCTTGAGGGACTAACCCACAAGGAGCAGAGTAAGATAATCATAACACTAAAGCTGGAATCTGACACTATAGGGTGTTGCTTCTTTATTATCCATGTGTGGTATGTATGAGTTCATATGCATGCACACTTGTGTGTGGGGTGCACATGTTCACAGTGTATTTGTGGAATCAAAGGACAGCTTCACATGCCCATAATCAGGGTTCGTTCCAACTTGTTTGAGGACGGAGCTCTAATTGGCCTGCAACTTTGCCAGGTTGGCTAGCTCATGGCCTTCCAGGGTTCCACCTCTCTCTGGCTCCCATCTTACTCTTACTGGGATCTCATGGGTGTGTTACTATGTCCAGCTTTCTCATGGGTTCTAGGGGTCTGAACCCAGGTCCCCAGGCTTGGAAGGCAAGTACTTTATGGACAGGGCTGTAATATAATCTCCAGCCCTGGAATATAATCTCAAACACAGAAACCTACCTTTTAACCTTGGCCACAATAATGACCTCTATATACCAGCTGAGCTTGCCACAGAAATGGGGCTGATGATTTTGGCAACAGAAGCTGACACAGGACAAGCACTTGCTTAGTAAACAAAGCAGAGGGACGCAAACCTTACTTAAACTTGTAGCTTTCTCTCTTATTGTTCACAAATCCATCTGCCAGATCTCGGGGTAAGAGAATTTCCAAGCTATGTGTTAATTTTTCATCTTCATCTATAGAATAAATCTGCAAATATAAGAACAGGTGGGTATAAATGGTAAAATTCCAGCATGACCTCTTACCTGAATTGATTAGCATTGTATTGGTACAAAAACTGTGCTTTTATGACAAAATATCATAGCACAGTATACTATGTAAAATCCTCTTTGAACTGTTAGTAGGCTCATACAAATACATAGGACAAAACAAGAGTTAAAACCTAAATGATGCTTGTATTGGTGACTTGTTGTTAATGTGATAAAAGGCCATAACCAAAAACAATTTATGCAAGAAAGAGTGTTTTGGCTCGTGGTTCCTGTGGGAGAGTCCACGAGGGCAGGGAGAAGGCATGGCAGCCGGAGGAGGAAGCCTGGGGGTCATATCTTCACACACGAGCATGAGACAAAGAGACTGAACTGGGAGTGTGGTGAGGCTATAGACCCACAAAGCCAAACCTAGTGACACACTTCCTCCAGCAAGACTCCAGCTCCAACTAATAGTGCCAGCAGCTGGAGACCCAGCATTGACGTGTCTGAGCCTAAGGGAGACACTCGCATTCAAATACACCAGGCTGCATCAAGGTTCTGATGATCTAATATCCAGCTTTGATTGGGTAAATACATCCTTGTCATTGAGAAGACCCTCAAAGGCATTATTCTAGGCACTGCTTCCCCATCTAGAGAAGAAGTTCACATTCTTGCTACAACCCATAAGCTCTTCTGAGCATGTGTGAACTACAGACAAGAGTCTCAACAATGCCATCTGAACCTTCTCAGGGAGCTAAGAGGGGTGTCCAAGTTTCAGTTACATCCCCCCCAAATCCCACATTTCAGGAATCTGGTATGTCACATGCTTTGAAAAGGTACGTGCGCATGTCTTTGATATCTTGTGCTTTCATCGAAGCTCAGCCACTACTTAATAAGTGACCTGGGAGAAATCACTTCCACTTTCCAAGCTGATGTGGACGCAGAGAGCCCTAAAACCGTGACAGTGGAAACATTTTCTGATTCCCGTCTCTGTTACTCACTCTTTATTTCTTGGCCAGGAAAATCAACACTCTAGGCAACAAAACTAAACAAAACAAAACAAAAAGCCCTACTATTTAATGTCTATATGCTGAACCAGACTACCAGGTGTGTGACCAGCCACTGCTCTCAGCATCAAAGGTTCGATACACAAAGTGTGGGAAACAAAATCCCCAGACTCTCGGAGAGCAAGGCTGGGGGTCGGATGATGTAATGCAAATGGAAGTATTCTGTAATCCACCATAAAAAGAAGATTGAAAAAGGCTTCTTGTCTTTCACCAGGAAATAAAATACTTTCTTACAGGCACTACTTCCTGTCTAAGTGAGACTCGTTTGACGTATGATTAGAGGGTAAGAGTCATATTCCTACCCACGGAAAACCCAAGTTTATAGAAAGCATGAATAAGTGCCAAGGCAGATTCTTGTTTTGTTTGTTTGTTTTGTTTTTTGAATTTGAGACAGGGTCTCACTGTATAACCCAGGCTGGCTTGGAACTCACTCTGTTGACCCAGCTGGCAGAGATCCATCTATTACTGCCACCAAATCCAAGTGCTGAAATTAAAGGCATGTGCCACCATGCCTGGCCTAGGCTGATTCTTATTGAAACAACTTACTTAAAAAACATGAAAAGTTCAGGTGAAAAAGCTATTTTGTAAAATAAAATTTCTGAAAGCAGAAGGGGGCATTTGAGGCTTTCTGACTACAGTTGTTTTTTGTTTGTTTGTTTGTTTGTTTGTTTTGTTTTGTTTTTTTCTCCCAAAAGACATTTAAAAACTCTATGCTGCTAGGATAGAACCTAACACAACCAGCAATAAATAAGTGAACAAACACACAAAACAACAAAACCAAAAGCCAATGAAATAATGCCTAATGACACTCTATCGTACTCGCAGACCAGAACCGAGCATACTCGTCATTAGTCTTTGTCCAGTAACGGATGGGAGCAGATGCAGACACCCACAGCCAAACAGTAGGCAGAGCTCAGGAAATCCTGTAGGGCAGGGAGAGGAAGGATTGTAGGAGCCAGAGGGGTCAAGGACACAAGAACACAGCCCACAGAACAAACTGTGGGCTCATAGGAGCTCACAAAGAGTGAAGCGACTATCCGGGAGCCTGCGTGGGTCTGCCTAGACACTTTGCATCATGCCATGGTGTGTAACTTAGTGTTCTTATGGGACTCCTAACTTGTTTGCCTGCTTTTGGGACTCTTTTCCTCCTACTGGATTGCCTTTCCCGGCCTTAATATGAGGGGATGTGCCTAGTCTTATTGTAACTTGTTATGTCATGTTTGGTTGGTATCCTTGGGAGGCCTGCTCCTTTCTGAAGGGCAACAGAGAAGTGGATCTGGGGGAGAAGAAGGCTGGGAGGAGGGAGGGGAAACTGTGGTCTGGATGTAATATAGGAGAGAAGAATACAAAACAATTTATCCGGTAGGGTAGGGCATTGCTAGTTTAATAGACGTGAGTAAGAGAAGTGTATAACACGAAATACACAAAACCGAGGGTGACACATACATTTTAAAAAATCTGTATCTTGGGTGGAGATCTCAGTGGTTAAGAATGCCTGCTATTCTTTCAAAGGACATGGGTTTGGTGTGTGGAATTTCTGCCCCCTTCTGGCCTCTGAGAGTATCTGCACTCACTTGGGGACACACACACGGACACACACACACACACACACACACACACACACACAATTTTAAGAAGGAATCTTTACAGACAATTAGTATCTCTCTATGCTCAGTAATCAGAAAGGGAGGGACTGAGGTAGCAGATGAATTCCCACCACTGTGCTTAAGCCATCCTTCAAGGGACTGGGAAGTCCCTGAGAGCTAGGAAGTGGCCCAGTATAGCTGCTTCCTGACGTCCACATGGCCCTGAGTTGAAGCCCTCACACTGCCACCACCAAAGAGAAGAAAAAAGTCCCTCGCTCTTATGTGTAGTGCTCTCCCCCCCTCCCCCGTGTGTGTGTGTGTGTGTGTGTGTGTGTGTGTGTGTGTGTGTGTGTGTGTAATGCTGAGACAGGGTCTCAGTGTAAAGTCCAGACTATCCTAGAACTCACTATATAGACCTGGCTGGACTTGAACTCACAGAGATGCATGCACCTACCTCTGCCTCCCTACTACTGGAATTAAAGATGTGTGCCATCTGACTCAGATGTTTGCCTGTTTGTTTTTCAAAAAGAGGCAAAATCAAAACAAGAAGAAACCAGGGTCTCAGACAGTAGTAGCCAATACTATTAGAGTTGCTGGAGCTCACTATGGGGCCCAAGTTGACCTCAAACTCACAAAAGTCCCCCTGGTTCCCACCCCCTCACCCTACCACCACCACCACTGAGAGCCAGGACTGATAGGCATGTGCCTCCAGGTCTGGCCTAATCTGTAAGACGGAATGATTGATATTTTTATGATTCAAGGAGTTAGATAGATGAAGCCTTGGAACTGCTCTTGGTTTTGTATTATAAACAGCCACGACATTTATAGGGACAAGAAGAACCCTGCTCCAGTGGGGCTTCTGGAGGACAGAGGGGACACACTGGCTAGGTATGTGTCAACTCTATGCTTGTAGCAGCATAATGAGCTGCTATGACAGAAGCTGAAATCGTGAAGATGTGATATGACATCTGAGCTTATTTCCTGGAGGACCACAACCCACTCTGTGCTCATGGCTAAGCTTCAAGACTCCTCAAGAGCTTCCCAGTTCTACCCCTGCCACCTCCTAACCATGGCTCGGCTTCTCTTCGACTGCTAACTAAGTCCAAAGACTAAGAATTGGGAGGTCAGTGTTACATGTACTTTGAAAGATCTCTGTGCAGTATCTGCTAGGAGGTAGGAGCAAAGATGCCCAAAGTTCTCTACCTACTATGTTATTCCTTAACAAACATGAATAGTATTGGGACTGGAGAGATGGCTCAATGGTGAAGAGCACTTTCTCCTCTTACAAGAGGACCTGGGTTTGATACCCAGCACCCACATGGGGGCTCACAACCATTTATAGCTCCAGTTCCAGGGGATCTGATGCCCTCTTCTGGGTCTGCAGGCACTGAATGCATGTTGTATACATGGTTCTGATGGAAGCTCCACCTCAATACCCATTCCCCATCTCTCCCCACACCCCACCTCACCCCAGAAAGCCTGCCAAACAGGGCTCCTCCCACAGAGATGCTCAAGGCCATTCCCACAGGGTATTTAAATTGCCCTCTGCCAGAAAACAGACACATGGTCTGGAAAATCATCTGGGAGTGTTTTATCCACTAACCCTGTGCCTTTTCTAATTCGGTTTGATTTGGTCTGATTTAGATTGCTGTGTTGGTGGAGAGGCTTATCAGGGTACAGAAACTTTTAATACATATGTACCTGTAGATAAAACACTTGTACAAATAAAATAATTTTTTTTAAATGGCTAATATTTTTCTCTGGGGTCTTTTCTTACAGTTTTCCTGAATGTTTTTCATGGGATAAAGGCCATAGATCACAATGGCAGGGGCATTATAATCTCCTGATTTGTTTTAAGGACATAAATTACCAGAGGCCAATGCTAAATTATAGGATGCCATAATGTTACAAATTTGCATACATACAACACTGCAAAGAAATAGAGAGAAGACAATATTAAGTATACACTTATTCTAGGCATTCATAAACATGAATAAAGTTGCCTGAATACTCACTTTGGAAGCCAGGGGAAAGCTTTTGGGGGTTTTGTTGTGTTTCCTCTGTAGCAGAAATATAAGTTTCAAAAGCCTTAATTAAAATTAAACTTGGTGCCTCAGGCCCAGAAAAAACAAACAAACAAACAAAAACCACCTGGAGTGGGGGAGGGACTTGTTGGGAAGCAGGCTTGGGTGGTAAAGGTGGGAAGAGGAGGAGATGGTGAAAGAAACAATTAAAATTCCTGATACAAATGTAAAGTTAAAAATAAATAAACAAACAAAGGCATGGCGACCCATGCCTTTAATTCCATCATTTAGGAAGCAGAGGCAGGTGAGTTCAAGGCCAACCCGCTCTGCATACTGAAGCCTACTGAGTTCCAGCCAGCCACTACTACAAATGAAACCCTGCCTCAAGACAAACAACTAATTAAGCTAACATTAAACAAAGGTGAGTTCCTGTGACTCGCCATCTGGGCTCGCTGGCCGCTTTACTTAACCCACCACACAGGAGTCCTGTGTAAAATGAGGACAATAACAGCCCTAGCAGAGGACCAGTGCTAAACCAGAGAAGGGACCTGGCAGGTGATGCTTTCTCGGGACGCTGCCATAGCCATGCTCATCACCCAGAAGGCAGAAGCAGACGTCCCTCTTCACAACCTCGGCAGACTTCTGGATTTAACACACACCTCGGTTAATGGGTTAATGCTTTCTGGGGGCGGGGTGTGTGTCGGGACACAGCACATCTACTAAGAATGCATCACACACACACACACACACACACACACACACAAACACAAGCCTGTGAACATCGCAGAACAGCAAAGCAGTTAGATAAGAAATCCCGCAGGCTGTAGCCTGTGCACGCTTGCCTACAATTGTGTGATTCTGCCCACGAGAGTGCATTACAACACTTGCTCACAGGTTTTCCCATTGCGGACCCTTCAGCCCCAGCTCAGGTTGTGTGTGCAGGACTGGGGATTGGGAGCAGTGGCCCAGAAGAGTGCAAGGAGCACCTGTTTGTGGATTGGGCACCGCACAGGTGTCCGTGCAAACAGGCTCACGTGCACGGGTTGTGCACACCTGCTCCAGCTCTGGGCTGAGGGCCGCGCCCCGCCCCCCACCCCCCGCGCTGCCTCCCCTCCCCCCCACGCGCCCCACGCAGGACCCCGCGGCCCGTACCCCTTGCTGCTGCTTCCGCATCGAGGGCTTCACCCTAGCGAAAATCTGGATCGTCTGCTTCACCATCACCAGCGGAGACTCCACACTCACCCCTTGACCTTTTCGACTAAAGCCTCCCCAAAACTTCCTACTCACACCTGCTGAGACCCACTGCCCTAGCAACAGTAACCAAGGATGCTACCCAAGCAGCACCGCGGCCAGCGGGATCCCGCCTCCTCTACTCTAATTGGTCATGAACTGAGAGGAGGGGCTGAAGGCGGGACTGACCCGGGAGGGGTCGGTGCTGCGCATGTGTGTGGAAGATGCTCTAGGGACCTGGGTGGGAGGGTTTGCTATCCCCAGCCTGGCCCCTTTAGTAACAACTCCTTGCTCATTCTTTACCTCCTTTAAGTCTGTGTGGTCAGTCTGCCTTGATCACGCATTGAAGAAAAGGCCTTTTTTGGTTGCGGCTCTCAAGCTGCTCTGAGTTCTCTTGGAAATCGTTGAATGACGAAGCGGTTCTCAACAGAAATCACAACCCAAGGGCAAGGGCTGTGCTGAGTTCCCTGTGAAGAGACTGCTTCCCATGGGAAATGTCTGGAGACAGCTCCTGGGAGACAGCCTCTGAAAACGCGTCCAAACCTCCACTCACCAGGAAAAAGCAAATTAAAACCAAACCGCAATGTGGCTCAAATTGATAGTGACTGAGAACACATATATGAATGCACATATACATATGCATATACACATACACATACATATGCATGTATCTCCATCCTATCATCCTATCATGGCGTCCACCTCACCATCGTTTTTTCCTCAGAAGCCCAAGTTCTGAATGCATTTCCATTCCCACCTTTGTGTGGCTTTTGGTTTTTGTTTTTGTTTTCTCAGAAAATGGAAGGTACAGCTACTTTGCGATACACCTGCTGCAATTTGGGGACATTTATCTCAGGGAAGTGAAAACTTGTGTTCATGTGTTCACAAGAAAATCTGCGTGTGTTTGCTTAGTGGGGCATAGATCCTAACTGTGGGCAAGGCAGGCAGTTATGCAAACTTAGAATACCATTTTGAAAGGAATGAACCTTTGAAAATATGTAACAACCTGAATGAACTCCCTGAATTAAAAACAAACAGAGGTTAAATACTGTTTATGAGTCCCCTTATGTAACACTCCTGAAGTGACAAAATTCCAGAGATGGGGCCTTTAGAGGTCATCAGGGAGATAGAGAGAGCAAGAGAATAGAACAATCGTACAGAAAGGGTGCCAGTCGAGTGGGAATGAAGAAGATTGGTGATGCCCTCACAGTGAATGTCTTCTTGTTGAGCTATGTGGTTCTACAAGAGGTTCCTGCTGTGGGAAGGGCACACAGTTATCTCTATTATGTTTATCAGTGTGCATCTACAATTAGTTCAAAAAGTGGCCTTGTATAAAATGGTTTTTCCAGACAGGGTTTCTCTGTATTGCTTTGGAGTCTGTCCTGGAACGAGCTGTGTAGACCAGAATGGCCTCGAACTCACAGAGACCTGCCTGCCTCTGTCTCCCTAGTGCTGGGATTAAAAGCATGCGCCACCAACGCCCAGCCCAAGAAATAGCTTTTTAAATGGCATTCTTGAGCAAATGAATAAACAGGTCAACCACAGACTGAGAGCTTTCTATTTTTCAAAACATATAGCTAATAAAGGATGTCTAAATACAGTTTTAAAACTAGTTTAAAATCTAGTCATAGACAAGAAAATAACTCAGACTGGGGACGTAGCTTAGTGACAAAGGACTTGCACAGCATGTGGAAGGCCAGTTCGAGTCCCCAGCATCCTAAGGAAAGAATAAATCCAATTTGGGGTTCTGGAGAGAAGGTCCAGTGGTTAAGATCTATGTTGCTAGCTCCCAAGGCCTGGAGTTTGATTCCCTACACCCATGTGTAGTAGCTCACAACCACCTGTAACTCCATCTCCCTGGAGTCTGACGCCCTCTTCTGGTCTCTGAGGGCACCTCCACACAATGCACACACATAAATAAATACATCTTTTTCAATTTGAATTTTAAAAAGATAGCACAAATATTTGAGGAAACACTTCATTCTTGAAAGGATTATGTGGCTGGCAATAAATACATTTTTAGAAAAGATGCTGGATGTATTAAAGCCACAATGGGACACCATTGCGCACCTCTTACAAAAGTCAAAATGAGGAAGGTATATGTGTTGGCACAGATCCAAAGTATCTAGAACTTTCAAAGGATCATGGGAGGGCTTGAGGTGCAGTGATGGAATACTCTATGAGGGGTTCTGGGAGGTTCAGATGAAGATGTCTCTGATGCAGACAGCACAATCTGTTGGACAGTAATGAGATCCTGGACTGAAAGGACACAGTAAAGAAAGCTAGCTCAAAGCTCCCATTCATCTTTGTCTTCTTCCCAATCTTCCGAGATGTGAATGATGAGCCTCACCTCTTCTGTGGCCACAGCCAGGAGCTGTTCCCATAGCTGTGCCTTCACCACCATGATGGACTCCAGCTATGTTCTGCCAAGTATTTGGTCACAGCAACAAGAAAATTAATGAATAAAATGTTGTGTGTGTGTGTGTGTGTGTGTGTGTGCATATGTGCATATGTGCTTGTATGTATGTTTGTGTGCATTCCTATGAAAAGAACTTAACAAGTAGCCTAGGATGGCTCCTACATACCTCTACCTTGCCTGCTCTTGGATTATATGCACATGCCACCACCCCAATCCTTCCCTCCCCCCATAACATGCCACCACCCCAATCCTTCCCTCCCCCCATAAGTTCTGGGGCTAGAACTTAGGACCTCATGCATATGCAGCAACCACTTTACCAACTAAACTATGTCCCCAACCCCATGAATACAGCCTTCTATAGAGCCATTTAAGTGCGTATAGGGCATCCTGAGACTGCAAGCTCTGCATCTCCTGGGGCCATACTTGTGATGTACATACTTTAAGTAGACAGATAAAGACAGCAGGCATTGTGCTGGAGCCCAGAAACTAGAGCATCTAACTAAAAGCATTCACAGTCCAAATGGTTGCTGCACAATGTTGCCTGAAGACACCCTATGCATGGCCAGTAGTTCAAACCTGTTCCCATTTACGGGATAAGTGGCTCCCAGGCTGTGCCCCGGACCGCTTTCCTTTAATCCCCAGCAGATGGTTGTAATGGGTACACACTGAGCTTCGTGATTAAATCTCCTAGCTTCCTGGTCTTTCCCCCAACTGGAGTTCTACTTGGTATTCTTATTTGTACCTTGCCTTATTTAGATGTAATCGAGATGCTATTGAATTGTTAAAGGTCCCTTGAGCTCTGCAGTCGCCCAAAGTCACAGATGGCTTTACCAAGCCCATGAACTGGAGCTCCTCTGTCCCCAAGTGTGTAAGACTTAAGCCAAGCCTGCAGCAAATTAGTCTGTAGGCAAGTTGGTTGGGCTCCATCTGCCTGCTTGTTTTGTCTTTTAGAAAAAGCTGCAGCTCTTGGGCTAGTTTCAACTACCTCTTGGAGCTGTTGGTACCCCAATCATAAAATGCTTCATTTTACTTTACACGTCTCAAGATAAACCAGTAAAAAAAAAAAAAAAAAAAAAACAAAACAAAAGTAAGTTAGTAATGTTGACATAGACTATGTACATACAGTTATTGCAGCAAACTTCCTTCTCTTTTATTTTTTGTTTTATGGCTTGAGAATTCCCTACAGGCGTATGTTGTTGCATTTTGATCAAATCTACTCCCGCTTTATCCCCTCCACTCTTCCCATTGCCTCTCCCCTTTTCTCTCCCAACTTCGTGTGATCTTTTGGTTTGGTTTTAAACTCGCTGGGTTCTCTTAGTGGATGCAATATGTGCTTGTCTGTAGGACCATGGGGCAAGCTGTCAGGGGCCAAGTCCCTAAGGAAGGAGGACTGTCCTGTCCCCAGCAGCTACAGTTGTCATTAGTTCCTCTGCTCGCCAAGGGCCTTCTTAAGCCCCTCCCCACTGCATGTTGGAATTTGGCTGGTTTGATCTTGTGGAGGAGGGACAACCCAGTATTTTCTGGGCACGGCAGGGTCATTGTACATGTGCACTCACAGATGTTATGATTCTTCCCTTGTCTAGAACTCAATGGCTTCATGACTACCCAACTGTGCATTCCGTATCAGGTGGACAGCATGCTAAGACCCAACGTCATGCTTTTACTCACCCAGTCCCAGGCCTGGTATGCACAAAGCAAGGCCACAATAAGAATTCCCGGCTTATTAGTAAACAACAGTACTAATAAGACAGCAGTCATTTGATGCGGACTGCCATCCTAGCTGTGACTGTGCATTCACGGTCCACAAGTGTGGGGACTAAAGGTGTCGGGGAAAGGAATAGAACGATGCAGAAGTCACAGCAGGTCAGTGGAGGGCATTTTCATTAGGCATCTCCTTAAGCTCAGCTTCACCCATCTATCTATCCTGTGGGTGGCCAGGACCAGAGGGACCCTTCAGCCCCCCCCCTCCATCTCAACAGGGCATTTGCCCATTGTTTGTGAATGAATGGAGAATTCACACAGCAATTTCTGGTACTCATTAAATGTTGAATAATAAACATGCTTTGATACTGCTGAGCAGTGGCACCACAAAATCTGTAATATATAATTTCAGCAAAGGCATTTCTTTTGAGAATATGTTTGGCTAATTTAAAGCATGATTTCATTAGCATAACCATATTTCCAAACACGGCAGATTGAAATTCATAAAACTTCACCCACACTCTGGATTTATAGGGTGCTGTGGGGATCTTGGTGTTGGTACATATGTATTGACTTCCTTTGCCTATTGGTGGTGCAATGAGATTTTCAGTGGCACTGGATTCTCCCTCCTGCTGGTCCATCACACGCTGAGCTGACTGACAAACAGAGGCCCTCTTTTCCCTCAGTTTCCTGCAGGCCTCTTGGGGCTCCCCTGAGCGCCAACATCAAAGTCAGCATAGAGCTGGAATCTGGTGGCCAGCCATATGGAATTACAGCCCAGGCTGTCACCGGATTACAGAGTGTAGCACACGAACCAAAGGACAGTGCTGTGGCACAGAGGGAAGCCTCCAGTTTTGAATGGAAAATGTGACTGTGTGTGTGTGTTTATACCCAGGCTTCTCATAAACATCCCGGCTTCTCCACCAGCAACCCATCTCAGCATGGGATGGGCTGAGCTGAAAATAACTCTAGGACTCCTTTC